ATAGAACACTCAGATTGTGCAAAAGGAGGAAATGTGAACATGTAACATGCAGGATATATATGATATATATATATGTGCAATAAAGATATATATGATATATATATATGTGCAATAAAGATATATATGATATATATATATATATATGTGCAATAAAGATATATATGATATATATATATGTACAATAAAGATATATATGATATATATATATATATGTGCAATAAAGATATATATGATATATATATATGTGCAATAAAGATATATATGATATATATATATGTACAATAAAGTGACAAGTGTCAGTTGGAAACAGTGTCAATAGTAGTGCAGGTTTTCACACAGTGATCTTTAAAGTGACTTATTGTACAGTCTGACAGCGGTGGGGATAAAGGCCCTGCTCCTTCTTACACTGAAGGAGCTCCTCACCTCCTCCACAGAGTCCAGGGGCCTCCTGTCCCTCACCTCCTCCACAGAGTCCAGGGGCCTCCTGTCCCTCACCTCCTCCACAGAGTCCAGAGGCCTCCTGTCCCTCACCTCCTCCACAGAGTCCAGGGGCCTCCTGTCCCTCACCTCCTCCACAGAGTCCAGGGGCCTCCTGTCCCTCACCTCCTCCACAGAGTCCAGGGGCCTCCTGTCCCTCACCTCCTCTACAGAGTCCAGGGGCCTCCTGTCCCTCACCTCCTCCACAGAGTCCAGGGGGCTCCTGTCCCTCACCTCCTCCACAGAGTCCAGGGGGCTCCTGTCCCTCACCTCCTCCACAGAGTCCAGAGGCCTCCTGTCCCTCACCTCCTCCACAGAGTCCAGGGGCCTCCTGTCCCTCACCTCCTCCACAGAGTCCAGGGGCCTCCTGTCCCTCACCTCCTCCACAGAGTCCAGGGGCCTCCTGTCCCTCACCTCCTCCTGACCAGCTTGTTCAGTCTGTTTCTGTCCCGCTCTGTGCTGCCCGGGGCCCAGCACACGGCAGCGTAGTGTATGGCAGAGGTCTGCTCATTCAGAAGGACCTCAGCCTCCTCAGAAGGACCTCAGCCTCCTCAGAAGGACCTCAGCCTCCTCAGAAGGTCCTCAGCCTCCTCAGAAGGACCTCAGCCTCCTCAGAAGGACCTCAGCCTCCTCAGAAGGACCTCAGCCTCCTCAGAAGGACCTCAGCCTCCTCAGAAGGACCTCAGCCTCCTCAGAAGGACCTCAGCCTCCTCAGAAGGACCTCAGCCTCCTCAGAAGGACCTCAGCCTCCTCAGAAGGTCCTCAGCCTCCTCAGAAGGACCTCAGCCTCCTCAGAAGGACCTCAGCCTCCTCAGAAGGACCTCAGCCTCCTCAGAAGGACCTCAGTCTCCTCAGAAGGACCTCAGCCTCCTCAGAAGGACCTCAGCCTCCTCAGAAGGACCTCAGCCTCCTCAGAAGGTCCTCAGCCTCCTCCAAAGGACCTCAGCCTCCTCAGAAGGACCTCAGTCTCCTCAGAAGGACCTCAGCCTCCTCAGAAGGACCTCAGCCTCCTCAGAAGGACCTCAGCCTCCTCAGAAGGTCCTCAGCCTCCTCCAAAGGACCTCAGCCTCCTCAGAAGGACCTCAGCCTCCTCAGAAGGACCTCAGCCTCCTCAGAAGGACCTCAGCCTCCTCAGAAGGACCTCAGCCTCCTCAGAAGGTCCTCAGCCTCCTCAGAAGGACCTCAACCTCCTCAGAAGGACCTCAGCCTCCTCAGAAGGACCTCAGCCTCCTCAGAAGGACCTCAGCCTCCTCCAAAGGACCTCAGCCTCCTCAGAAGGACCTCAGCCTCCTCAGAAGGACCTCAGCCCTCCTCAGAAGGACCTCAGCCTCCTCAGAAGGACCTCAGCCTCCTCAGAAGGACCTCAGCCTCCTCAGAAGGACCTCAGCCTCCTCAGAAGGACCTCAGCCTCCTCAGAAGGACCTCAGCCTCCTCAGAAGGACCTCAGCCTCCTCAGAAGGACCTCAGCCTCCTCAGAAGGACCTCAGCCTCCTCAGAAGGACCTCAGCCTCCTCAGAAGGACCTCAGCCTCCTCAGAAGGACCTCAGCCTCCTCAGAAGGACCTCAGCCTCCTCAGAAGGACCTCAGCCTCCTCAGAAGGACCTCAGCCTCCTCAGAAGGACCTCAGCCTCCTCAGAAGACCCATCCCAGAAGGACCTCAGCCTCCTCAGAAGGACCTCAGCCTCCTCAGAAGGACCTCAGCCTCCTCAGAAGGACCTCAGCCTCCTCAGAAGGACCTCAGCCTCCTCAGAAGGACCTCAGCCTCCTCAGAAGGACCTCAGCCTCCTCAGAAGGACCTCAGCCTCCTCAGAAGGACCTCAGCCTCCTCAGAAGGACCTCAGCCTCCTCAGAAGGACCTCAGCCTCCTCAGAAGGACCTCAGCCTCCTCAGAAGGACCTCAGCCTCCTCAGAAGGACCTCAGCCTCCTCAGAAGGACCTCAGCCTCCTCAGAAGGACCTCAGCCTCCTCAGAAGGACCTCAGCCTCCTCAGAAGGACCTCAGCCTCCTCAGAAGGACCTCAGCCTCCTCAGAAGGACCTCAGCCTCCTCCAAAGGACCTCAGCCTCCTCAGAAGGACCTCAGTCTCCTCAGAAGGACCTCAGTCTCCTCAGAAGGACCTCAGCCTCCTCAGAAGGACCTCAGCCTCCTCAGAAGGACCTCAGCCTCCTCAGAAGGACCTCAGCCTCCTCAGAAGGACCTCAGTCTCCTCAGAAGGACCTCAGCCTCCTCAGAAGGACCTCAGCCTCCTCAGAAGGACCTCAGCCTCCTCAGAAGGACCTCAGCCTCCTCAGAAGGACCTCAGCCTCCTCAGAAGGACCTCAGCCTCCTCAGAAGGACCTCAGCCTCCTCAGAAGGACCTCAGCCTCCTCAGAAGGACCTCAGCCTCCTCAGAAGGACCTCAGCCTCCTCAGAAGGACCTCAGTCTCCTCAGAAGGACCTCAGCCTCCTCAGAAGGACCTCAGCCTCCTCAGAAGGACCTCAGCCTCCTCAGAAGGACCTCAGCCTCCTCAGAAGGACCTCAGCCTCCTCAGAAGGACCTCAGCCTCCTCAGAAGGACCTCAGTCTCCTCAGAAGGACCTCAGCCTCCACAGAAGGACCTCAGCCTCCTCAGAAGGACCTCAGCCTCCTCAGAAGGACCTCAGCCTCCTCAGAAGGAAGAGGCGACTTTGGCCCTTCTTGTGCAGGGCGTTTGTATTATGGACCAGTCCAGTTTATTGTTAATGTGAACACCCAGGTACTTGAAGCTGTCCACCAGCTCAATGTCCTCCCCCTGGATGTTCAGCAGTGTGTGGGAAAGTGGTTTTATCCTGAAGTCGATGACCATCTCCTTGGTAAGTTAGTAAGTTAGTAAGTTTTTATTTATATACCGCCTTTTCACTGCAGATCTGAGTCTCAAAGCGGTTTACAATTGTTAATTTTGGGCATTTGTCTCTCACTCCACACAGAGATGGGAGCGGGGTCGCCAGTACAGGAGGCGCATGCCAGAACTATTGGACATATTTTTAGTGGTAGGGGAAACCGGAGTACCCGGAGGAAACCTACGCAGACACGGGGAGAACATGCAAACTCCACTCAGAAAGGCCCTGGTCCGACCGGGATTCGAACCCAGGACCTTCTTGCTGAGAGGCGAGAGTGCTATCCACTCAGCCACCGTGCCGCCCCCGACCGGTCTTACTGGAGAGAGCACAGAGAGAGCAGAGGGACGAGAGAGAGCACAACAAGAGAGCACAGAGAGAGAGTACAGAGAAAGAGCACAACGAAAGAGCACAGAGAGAGCAGAGGGACGAGAGAGAGCACAACAAGAGAGCACAGAGAGAGAGTACAGAGAAAGAGCACAAAGAGAGAGCACAGAGAGCACAAAGAGAGCAGAGCGTTAGCAGATTGATGGCACTGGTTCCATGCTCTGTCTCACCTACTTCCCACTCACTCACTCCTCTCCCCCTCCTCTCTCTCCCCCTCCTCTCTCTCCCCCTCCTCTCTCTCCCCCTCCTCTCTCTCCTCTCTCCCCCCTCCTCTCTCTCCTCTCTCTCCCCCTCCTCTCTCTCCCCCCGCCCCCGCCTCCCCCTCAGATGCAGACCTTGGGCCGGGTCCGGAACCTGGTGACAGAGCTGTCTTCTCATGAGTCACCATCAGAGGGCGCTGAGTGGAGCGTCCTGCAGCGCTCTGAGCTGCTGCACTGTCTGCGCCGCGACTCCTACAAAGTACAGAACTACCTCAAGATCCTCAAGTGCCGCGTGCTGCCGGAGTACGGCTGTTAGAGGGGGGGGTACGGCTGTTAGAGGGGGGGGTACGGCTGTTAGAGGGGGGTACGGCTGTTAGAGGGGGGTACGGCTGTTAGAGGGGGGTACGGCTGTTAGAGGGGGGTACGGCTGTTTGTTAGAGGGGGGTACGGCTGTTAGAGGGGGGTACGGCTGATTGGGGGGGGTACGGCTGATTGGGGGGGGTACGGCTGTTAGAGGGGGGGGTACGGCTGTTAGAGGGGGGTACGGCTGTTAGAGGGGGGTACGGCTGTTAGAGGGGGGTACGGCTGTTAGAGGGGGGTACGGCTGTTAGAGGGGGGTACGGCTGTTAGAGGGGGGTACGGCTGTTAGAGGGGGGTACGGCTGTTAGGGGAGGGAGTAGTACGGCTGTTGGGGGGGGTAAGGCTGTTAGAGGGGGGTATTAGAGGGGGGGGGGGGGGGGGGGTACGGCTGTTAGGGGGGGTGAGGGAGGGGGGGCTGCCCGAGTACGTCGATGGAATTAAGTTGAGTCGAGATCCAAACCGGACTGTTTCGGATCCTCAGGACAGAACTATCCATTCCTCGCAGCTGTGGTCGCTACAAGACTAAAGTTACAGACCTGAGCTTTAAACATGTGTTATTCAGACTAAAGTTACAGACCTGAGCTTTAAACATGTGTTATTCAGACTAAAGTTACAGACCTGAGCTTTAAACATGTGTTATTCAGACTAAAGTTACAGACCTGAGCTTTAAACATGTGTTATTCTGACTAAAGTTACAGACCTGAGCTTTAAACATGTGTTATTCAGACTAAAGTTACAGACCTGAGCTTTAAACATGTGTTGTTGTGAAGACAGTTGTAAATATGAGACAAATTTCTGTAAAAAGCAAAATATTAAAATCAGAAAAACAATAAAGAGTTTCAACTAAACGTCTGGGATTCATATTCATAGAGACACACAACTACCAACCAATGCTCTACCAACTGAGCTACTGTCGCCCTCTGTGATTTTAATATTCACGTGGATAATGTTAAAGACCTTATGCCGGGTTTGATTTATTTAGAAATACAGTTTTAATACCATTTTATATCAGAAGAGAACTACTAAAGGTTTCAAAATCAGTTGTTTTTTTTGTCTGATCCCCCCAAATCGAAAACACCCCATAGCAACGCCCTTAGAGACGAAAAAACTTCACAGCCCTTGGTGACGTCAGAGTGGGTACGTTTCAATGCTGTAAGTTGTTTACAATTTGGTATTTGTTCTTTTTTTGCGGATATTCAAGATGACAAGGCCGTGTACAGCGACTCTGAAATAAATACTAGATTATAACCCTTCGTTGTTACTGAGATAGTCCAGTGGTTGTGTCGATGGACTGTCAATCCAGATACTTGGGTTCAACTCCCACCTCAGACATTTTTTCACTCTCAAAACGGCAATTTATGTGTAGTGAGCAATTGTCACCTGTAGAGGGCAGTATTGTGTTGGGCATCAGTGGAGAGAAGAGAGAAAAGGCAGTCCTGTGGCATAGATCCATGGTTTTCAATGCATGGGCGTAACCCGCTGTGACGTCACACACAGGTTAGAGCATAGACAACTTAAATTCATGAAAAACACCTTCTTTTTATAAAATATAGGATTTTTTTTGCCGGAATCTCTTTCAGATTGACATTGTCATGCAATTTTGATATCCACAATTTTTTTTTTTAAACCCGGCATAAGGTCTTTAATGACAGAAATGCAAATGAGCGGAGGTCTGTACTTGAATCTTTTGGTCTCACTCAGCATGTGAGTGGCCCCACCCACAGCAGAGGGCACACTCTAGATCTGTTAGTTACTAAGGGGGTGAATATTTCTAATGTAAACGTGGTCGATGTTGCTCTTTCGGATCATTTCTGTGTTTTTTTTACATGTGTTTCACTAACAAACCACCAGTGGACTCTGCAACTGTACGAAGAAGACACATAAATGAAAATACGGGTGAAATATTTATGGGAGCACAGGGACTGGACTCCTGCTGGGACTCTGAGGAGCACAGGGACTGGCCTCCTGCTGGGACTCTGAGGAGCACAGGGACTGGACTCCTGCTGGGACTCTGAGGAGCACAGGGACTGGACTCCTGCTGGGACTCTGAGGAGCACAGGGACTGGACTCCTGCTGGGACTCTGAGGAGCACAGGGACTGGACTCCTACTGGGACTCTGAGGAGCACAGGGACTGGACTCCTGCTGGGACTCTGAGGAGCACAGGGACTGGCCTCCTGCTGGGACTCTGAGGAGCACAGGGACTGGCCTCCTGCTGGGACTCTGAGGAGCACAGGGACTGGACTCCTGCTGGGACTCTGAGGAGCACAGGGACTGGACTCCTGCTGGGACTCTGAGGAGCACAGGGACTGGACTCCTGCTGGGACTCTGAGGAGCACAGGGACTGGCCTCCTGCTGGGACTCTGAGGAGCACAGGGACTGGACTCCTGCTGGGACTCTGAGGAGCACAGGGACTGGTCTCCTGCTGGGACTCTGAGGAGCACAGGGACTGGACTCCTGCTGGGACTCTGAGGAGCACAGGGACTGGACTCCTGCTGGGACTCTGAGGAGCACAGGGACTGGACTCCTGCTGGGACTCTGAGGAGCACAGGGACTGGCCTCCTGCTGGGACTCTGAGGAGCACAGGGACTGGACTCCTGCTGGGACTCTGAGGAGCACAGGGACTGGCCTCCTGCTGGGACTCTGAGGAGCACAGGGACTGGACTCTGCTGGGACTCTGAGGAGCACAGGGACTGGCCTCCTGCTGGGACTCTCTGGTCTCTCTCTGGTCTCTCTCTGGTCTCTCTCTGGTCTCTCTCTGGTCTCTCTCTCTGGTCTCTCTCTGGTCTACTCTCTGGTCTCTCTCTGGTCTCTCTCTCTGGTCTCTCTCTGGTCTCTCTCTTCTGGTCTCTCTCTGGTCTCTCTCTTGGTCTCTCTCTGGTCTCTCTGGTCTCTCTCTGGTCTCTCTCTGGTCTCTCTCTGGTTCTCTCTCTGGTCTCTCTCTCTGGTCTCTCTCTGGTCTCTCTCTGGTCTCTCTCTGGTCTCTCTCTGGTCTCTCTCTCTGGTCTCTCTCTGGTCTCTCTCTGGTCTCTCTCTGGTCTCTCTTGGTCTCTCTCTTGGTCTCTCTCTGGTCTCTCTCTGGTCTCTCTCTCTGGTCTCTCTCTGGTCTCTCTCTGGTCTTCTCTCTCTGGTCTCTCCTGGTCTCTCTCTGGTCTCTCTCTGGTCTCTCTCTGGTCTCTCTCTGGTCTCTCTTGGTCTCTCTCTCTGGTCTCTCTCTGGTCTCTCTCTGGTCTCTCTCTCTGGTCTCTCTCTGGTCTCTCTCTGGGTCTCTCCTCTGGTCTCTCTCTGGTCTCTCTCTGGTCTCTCTCTGGTCTCTCTCTCTGGTCTCTCTCTGGTCTCTCTCTGGTCTCTCTCTGGTCTCTCTCTGGTCTCTCTCTGGTCTCTCTCTGGTCTCTCTCTGGTCTCTCTCTGGTCTCTCTCTCTGGTCTCTCTCTCTGGTCTCTCTCTGGTCTCTCTCTGGTCTCTCTCTGGTCTCTCTCTGGTCTCTCTCTGGTCTCTCTCTCTGGTCTCTTGGTCTCTCCTGTCTCTCTCTGGTCTCTCCCTGGTCTCTCTTGGTCTCTCTCTGGTCTCTCTTGGTCTCTCTCTGGTCTCTCCCTGGTCTCTCTATGGTCTCTCTTGGTCTCTCCCTGGTCTCTCCCGGATGGTCTCTCTCTCTCTCCCCAGCCGGCCCCTAAAATTGCAGATCTATCAGCCAGGGCCCCTGGTCTCTTTGGAAAGCCAACTGCTCTTGTGGTTCACGCCCCCCCCCCCCCCCTCAGACATGTTCTACCCTCTCACGGAGCTGAACATCACCTCCTCCTGCAGGACGGGGGCGCTATGGGGGGTTGCGCACCAGACCGAGCGGCCTTCGAGGAAGAGCTGGTTCTTACACCTACAGAGTTCGCATCCATTCACACCCCCGAAGGAGCACAAGTAAAGCTGCCAGGTCTCACACCAGGGGGAGAACCAAGACCTACCACTGGGGTGAGATAAAACCCGGTTAAAGCAGGACTGAAGCAGGGGACTAATGTGGACACTAATACTGGATAATGCAGGGTACTAAGCAGGACTGAAGCAGGACTAAAGCAGGACTAAAAGCCGGCCTAAAACAGGTTTAAAGCTGTACTAAAGCAGGGATAAAGCAGTACTATGCTAGCCACAGGCACTAAGCAGGACTTAAAGCAGACCTAAAGCATAGGTCTGCTAAGCAGGTCTAAAGCAGCATTGTCTATCACCTTAGAGCTGCGTACACTAAAATAAGGTCTAAGCAGGTTCTATATCATGTCTTAAGCAGGACCTTAAAGCAGGACTAAATCAGGTCTAAAGCGGTCTAAAGCAGGACTAATGAAGGTCTAATGCCAGGTCTAAAGCAGGTCTAATGCAGGTCTAAAGCAGTCTAAAGCTGGACTATAAGCAGGATAAAGCACGGTCTAAAGCATGTCTAAAGCAGGGACTAAAGCGGACTAAAAGAGGACTAAAGCAGGTCTGTTGCAGGTTATCAGGACTAAAGCAGGTTTAAAGCAGGTACTAAAGCAGGACTAAAGCAGGACTAAAGCAGGACTAAAGCAGGACTAAAGAAGCAGGACTACTAAAGCAGGACTGAAGCAGGACTAAAGCAGGACTAAAGCAGGACTAAAGCAGGACTAAAGCTGGACTAAAGCTGGACTAAAGCTGGACTAAAGCTGGACTAAAGCTGGACTAAAGCAGGACTAAAGCAGGACTAAAGCAGGACTAAAGCTGGACTAAAGCTGGAAAAGCTGGACTAAAGCAGGACTAAAGCAGGACTAAAGCAGGACTAAAGCAGGACTAAAGCTGGACTAAAGCTGGACTAAAGCTGGCACTAAAGCAGGCTCTAAAGCAGGACTAAAGCAGGTCTAAAGCAGGACTGAAAGCAGGACTAAAGCAGGACTAAAGCTGGACTAAAGCCGGCCTAAAACAGGTTTAAAGCAGTACTAAAGCAGGACTAAATCAGGACTAAAGCAGGATTAAAGTAGGTCTGAAGCAGGTCTAAAGCAGGTCTAAAGCAGGACTAAATCAGGTCTAAAGCAGGTCTAAAGCAGGTCTAAAGCAGGTCTAAAGCAGGTCTAAAGCAGGACTAAAGCAGGACTAAATCAGGTCTAAAGCAGGTCTAAAGCAGGACTAAAGCAGGTCTAAAGCAGGTCTAAAGCAGGTCTAAAGCAGGTCTAAAGCAGGTCTAAAGCAGGACTAAAGCAGGACTAAATCAGGTCTGAAGCAGGTCTAAATCAGGTCTAAAGCAGGTCTAAAGCAGGTCTAAAGCAGGACTAAAGCAGGTCTAAAGCAGGTCTAAAGCAGGTCTAAATCAGGACTAAAGCAGGACAAAATCAGGACTAAATCAGGACTAAAGCAGGACTAAAGCAGGTCTAAAGCAGGACTAAAGCAGGACTAAAGCAGGTCTAAAGCAGGTCTAAAGCAGGTCTAAAGCAGTTCTAAAGCAGGTCTAAAGCAGGTCTAAAGCAGGTCTAAAGCAGGACTAAATCAGGTCTAAAGCAGGTCTAAAGCAGGTCTAAAACAGGTTTAAAGCAGTACTAAAGCAGGACTAAAGCAGGTCTAAAGCAGGTCTAAAGCAGGTCTAAAGCAGGTCTAAAGCAGGACTAAATCAGGTCTAAAGCAGGTCTAAAGCAGGTCTAAAACAGGTTTAAAGCAGGACTAAAGCAGGTCTAAAGCAGGACTAAAGCAGGACTAAAGCAGGTCTAAAGCAGGACTAAAGCAGGTCTAAAGCAGGTCTAAAGCAGGTCTAAAGCAGGTCTAAAGCAGGTCTAAAGCAGGACTAAAGCAGGTCTAAAGCAGGTCTAAAGCAGGTCTAACGTGGGTCTTTCTGTGCTTTCAGAACCGGACATGTAACTCCTCGGCCTCAGGTTTGTTTCAATTAAACTCATGATGAAAGTCTTTCTTGAATATTTGACTAAAACAGTTTCTCTGCAGCAGAAGGAGGACCTGTACTTTACTCTCAGGGACCGTGTGATGACGTCATCCATCCAGCCTGGGGGCGGGGCTTTGGCGGGGGGCGGGGCTTCGGCTGGGGGATTTCTGATCTCTATCCATAAATGAATGAAGTGAGAAAATGTATTTGGTTTATCGTTTGTAATTTTAAATGAGATATTTTTAATCTACTGTAAGGCGTCTTTGGGTGTTTTGAAAGGTGCCAGGAAATAAAATGACCAGGACTTGACCCGGTCTAAATCAGGACTTTACCTTGTCTAAACCAGGACTAAACTAGGTCTAAACAGGACTAAACTAGGTCTGAACCAGGACTAAACTAGGTCTAAACAGGACTAAAATAGGTCTGAACCAGGACTAAACTAGGTCTAAACAGGACTAAACTAGGTCTAAACAGGACTAAACTAGGTCTGAACCAGGACTAAACCAGGACTAAACTAGGTCTAAACAGGACTAAACTAGGTCTGAACCAGGACTAAACTAGGTCTAAACAAGACTAAACTAGGTCTAAACAGGACTAAACTAGGTCTGAACCAGGACTAAACCAGGACTAAACTAGGTCTAAACAGGACTAAACTAGGTCTGAACCAGGACTAAACTAGGTCTAAACAGGACTAAACTAGGTCTAAACAGGACTAAACTAGGTCTGAACCAGGACTAAACCAGGACTAAACTAGGTCTAAACAGGACTAAACTAGGTCTGAACCAGGACTAAACCAGGACTAAACCAGGTCTAAACAGGACAAAACTAGGTCTGAACCAGGACTAAACCAGGACTAAACTAGGTCTAAACAGGACTAAACTAGGCCTGAACCAGGACTAAACCAGGACTAAACCAGGTCTAAACAGGACTAAACTAGGTCTGAACCAGGACAAAACCAGGTCTAACCTAGGACTAAAGCATAAGAAACATTGTTCATTGTAGAGTGTTGCTGATTGGATGAGAATTGATAAAGCAGGACTTGATTTTGAACTGAATCTTATGTGGACTCGCCTCTGCGCAGACCCGACTTGGTCCTGTCCTTTGTTTCCATGGAGATGGTCGTTTTGCTTTGATGTTCCCCACTCTGGCACTGAACTGTAAAGTGACTTCTGTTTTTTATAACTTCAATAAAATTGGGTGGAAATATATTTAGTAATGACTCATACTTCTCTTCAGTCTGTTATATTAAATTCACGTTTATATACTTTGAACAAACATGAAGTTTAAAAACAGCATTCAGACAGAAGGGACGGGGGGACATGTTAGCATAGACGACCATAGCCGTTGATAAAGGCCAGATGTGTGCGCTTCGTATCTGCGTCTGTGATCCGTGTTTGTGTTTTGAAAGTTACGTGCCTCGGCTTTAATTAGAGTTCGCGTGAGTGCGATACCACCTGCAGAGGGCGCCAGAGTCTGCAGAATGAGAGGAACCTTGCGCTGTGCTTTGTGTTCCGCCCGGACCCCTCTCTGCTGTCGCACACTGGCTTGTTAGCATTAGCATTAGCATCAGCGCCTCCAGCACCAGCACCGACTGCGGGGAGAGAGAGCACTGAGAGCGGCCGGGAGCCATGGCAGCCATCGGGGTTCACTTCGGATACACGTGCGCGTGCGTGGCCGTGTACAAAGTGAGTGTTTTCTACTTTTTATCCACGATTTAAAGTAGAAACGTGTGCAACATGTGCGCGCGCCTCATTGAATCCAAATAAGGAATTCCAAGAGTCCTGTGTCCGCTCCTCTGAGGACACAGAACCAGCTCAGTCTCACTAACTACAGAGGCCGTTGGCGCAGTAATGCTTCCACACCTGAGCCAGTCTGCCCCGAGGCATGAAAACCTATAATGACGCTGTGATGACCGTGGGCCATGCAGACGGTGTGTGTAGACCCAGGACCGAGGCCGTAGACCCAGGACCGAGGCCGTAGACCCAGGACCGAGGCCGTAGACCCAGGACCGAGGCCGTAGACCCAGGACCGAGGCCGTAGACCCAGGACCGAGGCCGTAGACCCAGGACCGAGGCCGTAGACCCAGGACCGAGGCCGTAGACCCAGGACCGAGGCCGTAGACCCAGGACCGAGGCCGTAGACCCAGGACCGAGGCTGTAGACCGAGGCCGTAGACCCAGGACCGAGGCCGTAGACCCAGACCCAGGACCGAGGCCGTAGACCCAGGACCGAGGCTGTAGACCCAGGACCGAGGCCGTAGACCCAGACCCAGGACCGAGGCCGTAGACCAGACCCAGGACCGAGGCTGTAGACCGAGGCCAGGCCGTAGACCCAGGGCCGAGGCCGTAGACCCAGGCCGTAGACCGAGGGCCGTAGACCCAGACCCAGGACCGAGGCCGTAGACCCAGGACCGAGGCCGTAGACCCAGACCGAGGCCGTAGACCCAGGACCGAGGCCGTAGACCCAGACCCAGGACCGAGGCCGTAGACCCAGGACCGAGGCCGTAGACCCAGGACCGAGGCCGTAGACCCAGACCCAGGACCGAGGCCGTAGACCCAGGACCGAGGCCGTAGACCCAGGACCGAGGCCGTAGACCCAGACCCAGGACCGAGGCCGTAGACCCAGACCCAGGACCGAGGCCGTAGACCCAGGACCGAGGCCGTAGACCCAGACCCAGGACCGAGGCCGTAGACCCAGACCCAGGACCGAGGCCGTAGACCCAGACCCAGGACCGAGGCCGTAGACCCAGACCCAGGACCGAGGCCGTAGACCCAGACCCGAGGCCGTAGACCCAGACCCAGGACCGAGGCCGTAGACCCAGACCCAGGACCGAGGCCGTAGACCCAGACCCAGGACCGAGGCCGTAGACCCAGGACCGAGGCCGTAGACCCAGACCCGAGGCCGTAGACCCAGACCCAGGACCGAGGCCGTAGACCCAGACCCAGGACCGAGGCCGTAGACCCAGACCCAGGACCGAGGCCGTAGACCCAGACCCAGGACCGAGGCCGTAGACCCAGACCCAGGACCGAGGCCGTAGACCCAGGACCGAGGCCGTAGACCCAGACCCGAGGCCGTAGACCCAGACCCAGGGCCGAGGCCGTAGACCCAGACCCAGGGCCGAGGCCGTAGACCCAGACCCAGGACCGAGGCCGTAGACCCAGACCCAGGACCGAGGCCGTAGACCCAGGACCGAGGCCGTAGACCCAGGACCGAGGCCGTAGACCCAGGACCGAGGCCGTAGACCCAGGACCGAGGCCGTAGACCCAGGACCGAGGCCGTAGACCCAGGACCGAGGCCGTAGACCCAGGACCGAGGCCGTAGACCCAGGACCGAGGCTGTAGACCGAGGCCGTAGACCCAGGACCGAGGCCGTAGACCCAGACCCAGGACCGAGGCCGTAGACCCAGGACCGAGGCTGTAGACCCAGGACCGAGGCCGTAGACCCAGACCCAGGACCGAGGCCGTAGACCAGACCCAGGACCGAGGCCGTAGACCCAGACCCAGGACCGAGGCCGTAGACCCAGGGCCGAGGCCGTAGACCCAGGACCGAGGCCGTAGACCCAGGACCGAGGCCGTAGACCCAGACCCAGGACCGAGGCCGTAGACCCAGGACCGAGGCCGTAGACCCAGGACCGAGGCCGTAGACCCAGACCCAGGACCGAGGCCGTAGACCCAGGACCGAGGCCGTAGACCCAGGACCGAGGCCGTAGACCCAGACCCAGGACCGAGGCCGTAGACCCAGGACCGAGGCCGTAGACCCAGGACCGAGGCCGTAGACCCAGACCCAGGACCGAGGCCGTAGACCCAGACCCAGGACCGAGGCCGTAGACCCAGGACCGAGGCCGTAGACCCAGACCCAGGACCGAGGCCGTAGACCCAGACCCAGGACCGAGGCCGTAGACCCAGACCCAGGACCGAGGCCGTAGACCCAGACCCAGGACCGAGGCCGTAGACCCAGACCCGAGGCCGTAGACCCAGACCCAGGACCGAGGCCGTAGACCCAGACCCAGGACCGAGGCCGTAGACCCAGACCCAGGACCGAGGCCGTAGACCCAGGACCGAGGCCGTAGACCCAGACCCGAGGCCGTAGACCCAGACCCAGGACCGAGGCCGTAGACCCAGACCCAGGACCGAGGCCGTAGACCCAGACCCAGGACCGAGGCCGTAGACCCAGACCCAGGACCGAGGCCGTAGACCCAGACCCAGGACCGAGGCCGTAGACCCAGGACCGAGGCCGTAGACCCAGACCCGAGGCCGTAGACCCAGACCCAGGGCCGAGGCCGTAGACCCAGACCCAGGGCCGAGGCCGTAGACCCAGACCCAGGACCGAGGCCGTAGACCCAGACCCAGGACCGAGGCCGTAGACCCAGGACCGAGGCCGTAGACCCAGGACCGAGGCCGTAGACCCAGGACCGAGGCCGTAGACCCAGGACCGAGGCCGTAGACCCAGGACCGAGGCCGTAGACCCAGGACCGAGGCCGTAGACCCAGGACCGAGGCCGTAGACCCAGGACCGAGGCCGTAGACCGAGGCCGTAGACCCAGGACCGAGGCCGTAGACCCAGACCCAGGACCGAGGCCGTAGACCCAGACCCAGGACCGAGGCCGTAGACCCAGGACCGAGGCCGTAGACCCAGACCCAGGACCGAGGCCGTAGACCCAGGACCGAGGCTGTAGACCCAGGACCGAGGCCGTAGACCCAGACCCAGGACCGAGGCCGTAGACCCAGACCCAGGACCGAGGCCGTAGACCCAGACCCAGGACCGAGGCCGTAGACCCAGACCCAGGACCGAGGCCGTAGACCCAGACCCAGGACCGAGGCCGTAGACCCAGACCCAGGACCGAGGCCGTAGACCCAGACCCAGGACCGAGGCCGTAGACCCAGGACCGAGGCCGTAGACCCAGGACCGAGGCCGTAGACCCAGGACCGAGGCCGTAGACCCAGGACCGAGGCCGTAGACCCAGGACCGAGGCCGTAGACCGTAGACCCAGACCCAGGACCGAGGCCGTAGACCCAGGACCGAGGCCGTAGACCGTAGACCCAGACCCAGGATCGAGGCCGTAGACCCAGACCCAGGGCCGAGGCCGTAGACCCAGACCGAGGCCGTAGACCCAGACCCAGGACCGAGGCCGTAGACCCAGACCCAGGACCGAGGCCGTAGACCCAGGACCGCGGCCGTAGACCCAGGACCGCGGCCGTAGACCCAGGACCGCGGCCGTAGACCCAGGACCGCGGCCGTAGACCCAGGACCGCGGCCGTAGACCCAGACCCGAGGTTGTAGACCCAGACCCAGGACCGAGGCCGTAGACCCAGGACCGAGGCTGTAGACCGAGGCCGTAGACCCAGGACCGAGGCCGTAGACCCAGGACCGAGGCCGTAGACCCAGGACCGAGGCCGTAGACCCAGGACCGAGGCCGTAGACGTAGACCCAGGACCGAGGCCGTAGACGTAGACTCAGGACCGAGGCCGTAGACCCAGACCCAGGACCCAGGCCGTAGACCGAGGCCGTAGACCGAGGCCGTAGACCCAGGACCGAGGCCGTAGACCCAGGACCGAGGCCGTAGACCCAGGACCGAGGCCGTAGACCCAGGACCGAGGCCGTAGACCCAGACCCAGGACCCAGGCCGTAGGCCGTAGACTCAGGACCGAGGCCGTAGACCCAGGACTGATCTTGTTTCTCGTGTGTTTGCAGGACGGCAGGGCAGACGTCGTGGCCAATGATGCAGGAGACAGAGTGACTCCAGCCGTCGTGGCCTTCAGAGAGAAAGAACGAGTGAGTCCTGAGAAGCACTGTTAGATTGACAATGCTAACCCGCTAGCTCAATGCTAACCCGCTAGCTCAGCAAAGCCCAGGGAAGTGCTCATGGTGAAGTTTGGCTCCTATTGACTTTCATGTCAAAGTAAACTCCTCTGTCTCAGTAACGTGTGACATCACCAGTTTGGGCTGAAATCTGTGGTTTCTCTGTTTCCTGTGTTTATCTGTGATGTGTCTTTGTAAATCCTGTTATGATTATGACCATATAAGGACTGACCAATCAGAGGCCTTCATTCAGGGAAACAGTTTGAATCAACGTCTTCTGCATCAAGGTTAACGCTGTGGTGATGTCACGCTGTGGTGATGTCACGCTGTGGTGATGTCACGCTGTGGTGATGTCACACTGTGGTGATGTCACACTGTGGTGATGTCACACTGTGGTGATGTCACACTGTGGTGATGTCACACTGTGGTGATGTCACACTGTGGTGATGTCACACTGTGGTGATGTCACACTGCAGTGATGTCACACTGTGGTGGGGCTGGGCGATATGGCTGAAAACTATATCACAATATAAGTAATTCATATCGGTCGATAACAATATATATTGATTGTTTTTATAATTTTTTTAAACGTAAATAAATACATTTGTCGTGTCGGCTAACACATGTTAGCAGCTCTGTTTACAGTCACGGGGAATGAGGCTGTAGCCAAATGTTCACAAGCAGTCTCCCCCATTCTAGTCCTGGTTTAATCCTGGTTTAGTCCTGGTTTAATCCTGGTTTAGTCCTGGTTTAATCCTGGTTTAATCCTGGTTTAGTCCTGGTTTAGTCCTGGTTTAATCCTGGTTTAGTCCTGGTTTAGTCCTGGTTTAATCCTGGTTTAATCCTGGTTTAGTCCTGGTTTAATCCTGGTTTAATCCTGGTTTAGTCCTGGTTTAATCCCGGTTTAGTCCTGGTTTAGTCCTGGTTTAGTCCTGGTTTAATCCTGGTTTAATCCTGGTTTAATCCTGGTTTAGTCCTGGTTTAGTCCTGGTTTAGTCCTGGTTTAGTCCTGGTTTAGTCCTGGTTTAATCCTGGTTTAGTCCTGGTTTATTCCTGGTTTAATCCTGGTTTAGTTCTGGTTTAATCCTGGTTTAGTCCTGGTTTAGTCCTGGTTTAGTCCTGGTTTAATCCTGGTTTAGTCCTGGTTTAGTCCTGGTTTAATCCTGGTTTAGTCCTGGTTTAGTCCTGGTTTAGTCCTGGTTTAGTCCTGGTTTAATCCTGGTTTAATCCTGGTTTAGTCCTGGTTTAGTCCTGGTTTAGTCCTGGTTTAGTCCTGGTTTAGCTCCTGTTTTGGCTGTGTCTTGTGTCCCCGTGACGGCTCCGGAAAAAGTGAATCTCTTGCTTTTGTCGAATGCATGGAGTCTCTGTCCCCACTGCCTCTGACGCCGCACATGCTGTTCCTCGCACAGACGTGTTTGACCTTTGACACTGAAACACCATCTGTAGATCCATGGTTATTACAATAGATCCATGGACGCTACGCATGGTGCGCTTGTTTTTTTGCTTTTCCCAGAAAGTTTTGCGGTTTGTAGTCGGCTGTGATAGGTGGAGAAGCCTTTGCCTACATCCCCCAGAATGCCGTGCGCTTCTGACTCGGCTTTACTTCCTGTGTTTTGTTCCTGTTTTTTTTGAACGGACTGAAGTGAAACTATCGAAGTTCTATCGACCTCGTTTTCTATTGATATCGAACACGTGTCTATCACAGTCGTCTCCAGGGAAACAGCTTCAGACTGAGTAAAAGTAGATTAAAGATTAAGATCCTTTATCCGTCCCACAGTGGGGAAATGTCAGTGTTGCATCACAAGTTACAGAGCAGTAGTTACAGCACAAGATAAATGAACAATAACTACACTAATTAAAATAAAACAATCTCTAACTCTTGCATCAAGAACAAGTATAAAGTCTCTTATTGTAAACATAATAATAATAAAGAAGTACTCGAGTACCGTTGAGCGACACATTTTCAGAGAGAACTATTTTACATTCACTCTGTTTCAGGTCGTCGGCATCGCAGCGAAACAGGGACGAGCACGAAACACTGCAAACACCATCGTCAAAGTGAAGCAAGTGCTGGGACGGAGGTGAGAACCCAGGACGGAGGTGAGAACCCAGGACTGAGGCTGTAGACCCAGGACTGAGGCTGTAGACCCAGGACTGAGGCTGTAGACCCAGGACTGAGGCTGTACCAGGACTGAGGCTGTAGACCCAGGAGCTGAGGCTGTAGACCCAGGACTGAGCTGTAGACCCAGGACTGAGGCTGTAGACCAGGAGGCTGGACTGAGGCTGTAGACCCAGGACTGAGGCTGTAGACCCAGGACTGAGGCTGTAGACCCAGGACTGAGGCTGTAGACCCAGGACTGAGGCTGTAGACCCAGGACTGAGCTGAGACTGAGGCTGTAGACCCAGGACTGAGGCTGTAGACCCAGGACTGAGGCTGTAGACCCAGGACTGAGGCTGTAGACCCAGGACTGAGGCTGTGACCAGGGCTGTAGACCCAGGACTGAGGCTGGTAGACCCAGGACTGAGGCTGTAGACCCAGGACTGAGGCTGTAGACCCAGGACTGAGGCTGTAAACCCAGGACTGAGGCTGTAAACCCAGGACTGAGACTGTAGACCCAGGACCGAGGCCGTGGACCCAGGACCGAGGCCGTAGATCAGGGGTGCTCAATACGTCGATCGCGATCTACCAGTCGATCGCAAAGGTAGTATTGGTAGATTGCATTAAATAAAAACTAAATTACACATTCTAAACGAATATATACAAAAAACTCCGGGCAAAGTGGAGATTTTTGAAAACTCTGTTAATGCATTTGTGTGTAGACAGAGATAACCAGAGTTTTGCGTTCTCGCACGCCACAGTACCCCCCTAAATTCCTCTGATCACTGAAGCATGGATCATACTACCTTAAAAACTGTTCGCTGTGAGATGCTCGCAGCAGCGAACATCCTCCACATCAGAGAGCAGCAAAGTGATCGCGGGGACTCACGCTCGAAAACAACCAAACCAGGACTAAACCAGGACTAAACCAGGACTAAACCAGGGCTGAGGACGGGGTCAGTGCTTGTAAACATACGTCTTTACTCTGAGTGTCTTCTATGACTGTAAAAGTGCCGTTACCGGCGTCTGCATCAGAACTCCGCCCACTTCTGTGTTTTTCCCCAACGCAGGACAGGACGTAAGAGACGCACATGTTTGGAATGTTACGAATGTGATTGATAACGCAGATGTGTGGATGCAAATAATTTTATAAACGGAGGAGGGGAAATATTTGGATTTAAAAAAAACAGGCATGGCACATGGACATGGCACCACAGTCAAATGACATCTGTGTTTTACTCAGTAATGTTTTACTGACACTTAGGTGACTGCACATGCGCAAACAACCGCGCTCAGTGCAGGAAAGCTAAACCACGACAAACTTGTCAGCGAGTTACCACCAATTTTCCGGACTATGCATCCCTGGCCGATTCAATTCAGTGCAAGTCATAAGAGTAAACTCGGGTAATGACAAAAAATGTACATAGGTAATTTTGTTGTGTTGTGCTATATTGGCTCATGCGGTTTTGCATGTACATAAACATACATTGTAGATATAAAGAATATTTTTTGAAATATATGATTTGCATTTTTGTAGTAGGTAGATCATTTTGACTTGATCCTTTTATAAGTAGCTCGCATGCTGAAAAAGTGTGAGCACCCCTGCCGTAGATTATTAATGTATTAAACTGTAATGTGTCTGAACTGTTTTTTAAACCGTTGTTTTTGTGACAGTTTTGAGGATCCAGAGACACAGGCGCATAAAGCAGAGAACAAGTGTGAGGTGAGAGGACCACGGGACTGGGAGGACCACGGGACCGGGAGGACCACGGGACCGGGAGGACCACGGGACCGGGAGGACCACGGGACCGGGAGGACCACGGGACCGGGAGGACCACGGGACTGGGAGGACCACGGGACTGGGAGGACCGGGAGGACCACGGGACCGGGAGGAGCAGGGATTTTGCCTCGGATGAAGCGTGTGAAGGTGGTGCTCAGATGAAGTGTGTGCAGGTGGTGCGGGTGGTGCTCAGATGAAGTGTGTGAAGGTGGTGTCAGATGAAGTGTGTGAAGGTGGTGTCAGATGAAGTGTGGGCAGGTGGTGTCAGATGAAGTGTGTGCAGGTGGTGTCAGATGAAGTGTGTGAAGGCGGTGTCAGATGAAGTGTGTGAAGGCGGTGTCAGATGAAGTGTGTGAAGGTGGTGTCAGATGAAGTGTGTGCAGGTGGTTCGGGTGGTGTCAGATGAAGTGTGTGAAGGTGGTGCAGGTGGTGTCAGATGAAGTGTGTGAAGGTGGTGCAGGTGGTGTCAGATGAAGTGTGTGAAGGTGGTGCAGGTGGTGTCAGATGAAGTGTGTGCAGGTGGTGTCAGATGAAGTGTGTGAAGGTGGTGCAGGTGGTGTCAGATGAAGTGTGTGCGGGTGGTGCAGGTGGTGTCAGATGAAGTGTGTGAAGTGTGTGCAGGTGGTGTCAGATGAAGTGTGTGAAGGTGGTGCAGGTGGTGTCAGATGAAGTGTGTGAAGGTGGTGCAGGTGGTGTCAGATGAAGTGTGTGAAGGTGGTGCAGGTGGTGTCAGATGAAGTGTGTGCAGGTGGTGAACAAAGCGGACAGACCGTTCTACCGGCTGCAGCTGGAGGAGCGCAGTGAGCTCGTCAGTCCACAGGAGGTCGCCAAACTCATCTTCCACAAAATGAAAGGTACCACAGTCAGTTGTTGACGCCACGGTCGTCGTGGTAACGGTCTGTTCCCATAGAAACCGCTCAGTCGGCGCTCGGCTCCGACGTCACGGCGGCGGTGATCACGGTGCCGTTCGAGTTTGCACACGATCAGAAGAAAGCTCTAAGGTGAGTCTGACTTAAAGCTGAGTCTGACTTAAAGCTGAGTCTGACTTAAAGCTGAGGTCTAACTTGTGCACAGAGAGGCAGCGGAGGCGGCCGGGTTCCGCGTGTTGAGACTCATCCATGAACCAGCTGCAGCTCTCCTGGCCTACGACATCGGACAGGACTCTCACAGCAGCAACAGGTACGTCCTGGTCCAGACCCTGGTCCTGGTCCAGACCCTGGTCCTGGTCCAGACCCTGGTCCTGGTTTGATCCTGTTTGTTTAAAGACCTTATGCTGGGTTTAAAAAAAAAAAGGTGGATTTCAAAATTGCATGACAATGTCGATCTGAAAAAGATTCCGGCAAAAAAAATCCTATATTTTATAAAAAGAATGTGTTTTTCATGAATTTAAGCTGTCTATGCTCTAACCTGTGTGTGACGTCATAGCGTTGCTATGGGGTTATTTCGATTTGGGGGGATCAGACAAAAAAAACAACTGATTTTGAAACCTTTAGTAGTTCTCTTCTAATATAAAATGGTATTAAAACTATTTATAAATAAATCAAACCCGGCATAAGGTCTTTAAAAAGTCTCAATTGATTCAGAGAGGTTTTTTTTCTCATTAAAGTCTGGAGTTTAAAGAGCGACTAAACACCAAATCAACTTTTTTTAACTCATAAACTGCATAAATGTATTAATCGTTGTGCTCTCTACATGTCCTGGTCATGTTTTCTGACATTTTAGTTCAAATGAGCCAAAAAACTTTTTTGGTGGCACTAGATTTTAATTTGGTTCTGGTCTCTTCACTGACTCTGTAATGCTGTGTGACGTCAGTTGGTGTGTGTGACGTCAGTTGGTGTGTGTGTGACGTCAGTTGGTGTGTGTGTGACGTCAGTTGGTGTGTGTGAGACGTCAGTTGGTGTGTGTGTGACGTGCTGGTCGGCCGGCAAAAATTAACAATGACATCGTTAATTGGTCAAATACAGCTTTATTGGACTGATCAAAATATCAAACATTATTCACACGCTGTATATTACACTATAAATACTGTTAACGCTGTATAAACCTACTTGTTGCAAAAAATAACATTATTCACACGCTGTATAAACACTATATCACACTATAAATACTGTTAACGCTGTATAAACCTACTTGTTGCAAAGTTTGCATGTTTTATCAGAGCACCTGATTTTTCGGGGCTGGCGAAAAAAAGATTTTAATGCCATATTATAAGGGAAGTCCTCAGGACAGGGTCCATTGATGGAGATCCTCAAGCAAGCTGCCAGGTGTTCTCCTTGCAGTTTGTTCCTGAGGTCTGTTTTCACCTGGAGATGAAGCAAAATTATAAATTATTATCAATGCAAAATGCACCAATATAAAGACAATGGGAATTTTTTATTGCTATTACCCTGTTCATTGCAGAGAAATCCCGTTCACAGTTCACAGAGGAAACAGGGATATCCAAAGCAATGCTTGCCAGAAGGCTCAGGCAGGGGTAGAGGTTGGCCCACTCATCAAACTCACTTGCCAGTAAACACAAGAGCTCCTCCTGGTTCTTGTTCTTGAAAGATAAGGGTTTGTCGTGGCATTAGTGTGTGTGTGTGTGTGTGTGTGTGTGTGTGTCAGGTCAATTCACTGACCTTGAATATCCCTGTAATGATATGGTTCTTGAACGAGAGCCACTCCGAAATGACTTCCCTCTCATGATCAGGGCAAAATTTCCTGGAAAGAGTCTGCAGCTGAGATATGTTCAATGCATCATCTGTTGCTGCTGATTGTGGCCCCAAGACATGGAAGGCTCCAAGGATGTCCAGATTATGGAATCTCTTCTCCAGATTTGTTTCCAGGCCAGTTATGTACGGGTGAATGACCTTCAAAGACCAGATCAGCACGCATTAAGGGTCAAATCAGACTGCCATTTATCTTTAATCTAAATCTTCTTTAGAATCTAAAATCTACATTATCTTAACATCTAAAATGTTTTAACATCACTTCTCATGCACTAAGCAAATTATAATTTACCAGTCGCTGGAATCGGGCCCAATGCCCCTCCCTTGATTCATCTTGGACCTCTCGCCCTCTCCTATCCCTCTCCTCCTCGTGCTGTATATTGTAGGCTCCAAGTCCTTGGGGATCATCAAGGTCCTGATGGAGGCGAGACGAGAAGGACCCAGGGAGCCACCAATGATGGCCTCGTGCTCTAGCACAACAGTAGGCTCAAAACAGTCCATAACAGAGAAACCTGTAAATGCAAAAATTGTTAGAAGATAATTTGGGCGTTACTAAAGTAAGTTATTATTATTATTATTATTATTATTACAACTAATTTTATAATATATTATCTGGTCATTTCAAATTACCCGATGCAAGAGATGCCTGGCATCTGATGCTCTCCTGGTGGTGCGCTGTGGTGATGTGCCGCTCTAAATAGTCTTTTCTATAAGTAATGGCCCCGACCTCAACAAAAGCCCTCTTTGTGGCACCACTCTTAGGCGCAGGCTTGTGCTGCCTGCACAGTCTACAAAACATCCCTTTAAAAGACATCATAATTAATGAAATTAGCTAAATAGTCAGACATTCCACAGTCACACTGTGTTAAAAAAATCATAAATGGAAAAGAATAATCAATAAAAAAAAGTTTTAATATATGTAAAGGATAGCATATTATGCAGACATTAAGCTTACCATGCGGTGTGTTGTATAACCATGACTTGAACTGAGGCATGTTCAACCACTCCCTGTTGAATCCCGTGGCCCTGTGTCTGGTGCTTTTGGATGTTGCCAAAGTACTATCTAAACAGAACAATAGAAACGAGTTCCCTTGAACTGATACCTGCTTTCTTACCTGCCTGTTTCTGTATCCGTTTATCCACCTCACCTGTTGCTTCAGCTGACTCTGTCACAGCAGCATGTTGGATGCCGTCCTCCTCTACTCTTTCTTCAATCAATTCTATCTCGTTCTCTCCCTGACCCTGTCTTTCTGCTTGAGCAGCACTGGTTGAAGCCTGAAAATATTGTAAACAACTTATATAGCTAATTACACTGTTAATTAGCTATACACTGCTAATTACACTGTTTCAGACCGATACCTCTGGTTCAGGCTGATCCTCATCCTCAACGCGTGTCTTTTTCAATCGCGGAAAATATTGTTCAATACTCATCTGGATTGAAGCAGCAAACATTCAGTGTAAGAGTAAAAAAATGACATAACGTTACTTATAACTTTATTTCTTGCTACAGCTGCTACATAGTGTTTTGACCCCGACAACCCAACTACATACCGCAAACTTGCGACTAATTAACTTTATAAAGAAAGCGTCATCGCTTGTTAAGGGAGTCGGGACGGAAATTCAACATTGACACTGAACATTCAGCACTTTTTAATGTGTGATTTACGAGATCACGGGATACCAACCTTTAGTGAACTTCACCAGCCGTCTTCTCTGCACCAAAATTAATAGACACAGCTGCTTACAGCGATGATCGCTGATGGAGACGGAGACACGCGGTGTGCACGAAGGGGAGTGGCTGTGTGTGTGTAGGTCTCTGTATGTGGGAGAGACGCGTAGCTTGAGTGAGAGTTACGAAGGGCCGCCACATTTTAAACCCCCCTCCCCGCTGTCAAATTGACCGCTGCGGCGGCACTAGACGATGCATGTTTTAAATAGCGTAACAAAAAAAATATATATATAATAATACGAAACGCAATTTGTGGCGGGCGGTCTCTAATCTGTGGCGGTGCGCCACAGATTAGTCTATGTGTGGGAAACACTGTTGTGTGTGACGTCAGTTGGTGTGTGTGACGTCAGTTGGTGTGTGTGACGTCAGTTGGTGTGTGTGACGTCAGTTGGTGTGTGTGACGTCAGTCAGTGTGTGTGACGTCAGTCGGTGTGTGCGTGACGTCAGTCGGTGTGTGTGACGTCAGTTGGTGTGTGTGTGACGTCAGTTGGCGTGTGTGTGACGTCAGTTGGCGTGTGTGTGACGTCAGTCGGTGTGTGTGTGACGTCAGTCGGTGTGTGTGTGACGTCAGTCGGTGTGTGTGACGTCAGTCGGTGTGTGTGTGACGTCAGTCGGTGTGTGTGTGACGTCAGTCGGTGTGTGTGTGTGACGTCAGTCGGTGTGTGTGTGTGACGTCAGTCGGTGTGTGTGTGTGACGTCAGTCGGTGTGTGTGTGTGACGTCAGTCGGTGTGTGTGTGTGACGTCAGTCGGTGTGTGCGTGACGTCAGTCGGTGTGTGCGTGACGTCAGTCGGTGTGTGCGTGACGTCAGTCGGTGTGTGCGTGACGTCAGTCGGTGTGTGCGTGACGTCAGTCGGTGTGTGCGTGACGTCAGTCGGTGTGTGCGTGACGTCAGTCGGTGTGTGCGTGACGTCAGTCGGTGTGTGCTTGACGTCAGTCGGTGTGTGCGTGACGTCAGTCGGTGTGTGCGTGACGTCAGTTGGTGTGTGCGTGACGTCAGTTGGTGTGTGCGTGACGTCAGTTGGTGTGTGCGTGACGTCAGTTGGTGTGTGCGTGACGTCAGTTGGTGTGTGCGTGACGTCAGTTGGTGTGTGCGTGACGTCAGTTGGTGTGTGCGTGACGTCAGTTGGTGTGTGCGTGACGTCAGTTGGTGTGTGCGTGACGTCAGTTGGTGTGTGCGTGACGTCAGTTGGTGGTGCGTGACGTCAGTTGGTGTGTGCGTGACGTCAGTTGGTGTGTGCGTGACGTCAGTTGGTGTGTGCGTGACGTCAGTTGGTGTGTGCGTGACGTCAGTTGGTGTGTGCGTGACGTCAGTTGGTGTGTGCGTGACGTCAGTTGGTGTGTGCGTGACGTCAGTTGGTGTGTGCGTGACGTCAGTTGGTGTGTGTGACGTCAGTTGGTGTGTGTGTGACGTCAGTTGGTGTGTGCGTGACGTCAGTTGGTGTGTGCGTGACGTCAGTTGGTGTGTGCGTGACGTCAGTTGGTGTGTGCGTGACGTCAGTTGGTGTGTGCGTGACGTCAGTTGGTGTGTGCGTGACGTCAGTTGGTGTGTGCGTGACGTCAGTTGGTGTGTGCGTGACGTCAGTTGGTGTGTGCGTGACGTCAGTTGGTGTGTGCGTGACGTCAGTTGGTGTGTGTGACGTCAGTTGGTGTGTGTGTGTGACGTCAGTTGGTGTGTGTGTGTGACGTCAGTTGGTGTGTGTGACGTCAGTTGGTGTGTGTGACGTCAGTTGGTGTGTGTGACGTCAGTTGGTGTGTCTGTGTGTGACGTCAGTTGGTGTGTCTGTGTGTGACGTCAGTTGGTGTGTGTGTGTGAAGTCAGTTGGTGTGTGTGTGACGTCAGTTGGAGTGTGTGTGACGTCAGTTGGTGTGTGTGTGTGAAGTCAGTTGGTGTGTGTGTGACGTCAGTTGGAGTGTGTGTGACGTCAGTTGGTGTGTGTGTGTGAAGTCAGTTGGTGTGTGACGTCAGTTGGTGTGTGTGTGATGTCAGTTGGTGTGTGTGTGACGTCAGTTGGTGTGTGTGTGTGAAGTCAGTTGGTGTGTGTGTGACGTCAGTTGGTGTGTGTGTGACGTCAGTTGGAGTGTGTGACGTCAGTTGGAGTGTGTGTGACGTCAGTTGGTGTGTGTGTGTGAAGTCAGTTGGTGTGTGTGTGACGTCAGTTGGAGTGTGTGTGACGTCAGTTGGAGTGTGTGACGTCAGTTGGAGTGTGTGTGACGTCAGTTGGTGTGTGTGTGTGACGTCAGTTGGTGTGTGTGTGTGTGAAGTCAGTTGGTGTGTGTGTGACGTCAGTTGGAGTGTGTGACGTCAGTTGGAGTGTGTGTGACGTCAGTTGGTGTGTGTGTGTGAAGTCAGTTGGTGTGTGTGTGTGACGTCAGTTGGAGTGTGTGTGACGTCAGTTGGTGTGTGTGTGTGAAGTCAGTTGGTGTGTGTGTGTGACGTCAGTTGGAGTGTGTGTGACGTCAGTTGGTGTGTGTGTGACGTCAGTTGGAGTGTGAGACGTGCGTCTCTCTGAGCCAGTGATATAAACCCATCCGACTCTAAGGTTGGAGCATTCTGGTGACATCTAGTGGATTAAAAGGAAATTACATGAGTAATTCTGGGGTGAAATGACTTTCTGGTCTGTAAACTATTGCTTTAAGCAGCAATGACAATTGTCTGGTTTTTTTTGTGTGACAAGTGAGCTGTCAATCACAGCCCAGACCACGCCCAACTCTAAGCCCCCCTTGTCCCTTGGTCCTCTGGCAACGGCCTTTTAAGAGAACATTTTCAAATGTTCATGTGGGCGGAGTCAGGCTGGGCACAGGTGTTTAGTCGCTCTTTAACAAACTGAAAGTTCATGTAAAATATGGTACCTGTGTGCAGTCATGTGTACAGTTGTGTACCTGTGTGCAGTCATGTGTACCTGTGTCCCTGTGTACAGTCATGTGTCCCTGTGTGCAGCCATGTGTCCCTGTGTGCAGCCATGTGTCCCTGTGTGCAGCCATGTGTCCCTGTGTGCAGCCATGTGTCCCTGTGTGCCGCCATGTGTCCCTGTGTGCAGCCATGTGTCCCTGTGTGCAGCCATGTGTCCCTGTGTGCAGCCATGTGTCCCTGTGTGCAGCCATGTGTCCCTGTGTGCAGCCATGTGTCCCTGTGTGCAGCCATGTGTCCCTGTGTGCCGCCATGTGTCCCTGTGTGCAGTCATGTGTGCCCCTTTCTGTCTCCGCCCTGCTGGTCATGTGTACCTGTGTGCCTGTGTCCCTGTGCTCAGACATGTGCTGGTGTATAAGCTGGGTGGCTCCTCCCTCTCTGTCTCCGCCCTGCTGGTCAGTGGAGGGATGTACAGAGTCCTTCACACTGTCACAGACCACAGTGTTGGAGGAGAACGCTTCACACAGGCCCTGGCCCAGCACCTGGCCCAGGAGTTCAACAGGTACTTATATATATATATATATACTTACATATACTTCACCTGGCCCAGGAGTTCAACAGGTACTTATATATATATATATACTTACATATACTTCACCTGGCCCAGGAGTTCAACAGGTACTTATATATACTACTATATATACTGTTATATATACTACTATATACAGTGGGGCAAAAAAGTATTTATTCAGCCACCGATTGTGCAAGTTCTCCCACTTAAAATAATGACAGAGGTCTGTAATGTTCATCATAGGTTCACTTCAACTGTGAGAGACAGAATGTGAAAAAAAATCCAGGAATTCACATTGTAGGATTTTTAAAGAATTTATTTGTAAATTATGGTGGAAAATAAGTATTTGGTCAATAACAGAAATTCAACTTTGTAATATAACCTTTGTTGGCAATAACAGAGCTCAAACGATTACTATAGGTCTTTACCAGGTTTGCACACACAGTAGCTGGTATTTTGGCCCATTCCTCTATGCAGATCTTCTCGAGAGCAGTGAACACGGACTTTAACTTCCTCCACAGATTTTCAATGGGGTTGAGGTCTGGAGACTGGCGAGGCCACTCCAGGACTTTCAAATGCTTCTTACGGTGTGTTTGGGATCATTGTCATGCTGGAAGACCCAGCCACGTTTCATCTTCAAAGCTCTCACTGATGGAAGGAGGTTTTGGCTCAAAATCTCACGATACATGGCCCCATTCATTCTTTCCTTAACACGGATCAGTCGTCCTGTCCCTTTAGCAGAAAAACAGCCCCAAAGCATGAGGTTTCCACCCCCATGCTTCACAGTAGGTATAGTGTTCTTGGGAAGGAACTCAGTGTTCTTCTTCCTCCAAACACGACGAGTTGAGTTTATACCAAACAGTTGTACTTTGGTTTCATCTGACCACATGACATTCTCCCAATCCTCTGCTGTATCATCCATGTGCTCTCTGGCAAACTTCAGACGGGCCTGGACATGCACTGGCTTCAGCAGGGGACACGTCTGGCACTGTAGTGTGTTACTGATGGTAACCTTTGTTACTTTGGTCCCAGCTCTCTGCAGGTCATTCACCAGGTCCCCCCGTGTGGTTCTGGGATATTTGATCACCGTTCTCATGATCATTTTGACCCCACGGGATGAGATCTTGCGTGGAGCCCCAGATCGAGGGAGATTATCCGTGGTCTTGTATGTCTTGTTTTCACATTCTGTCTCTCACGGTTGAAGTGTACCTATGATGAACATTACAGACCTCTGTCATTATTTTAAGTGGGAGAACTTCCACAATCGGTGGCTGACTAAATACTTTTTTGCCCCACTGTATACTTATATATACTGCACCTGGCCCAGGAGTTCAACAGGTACTTATATATACTACTGTATATACTGTTGCAGTGCCTTGAAAAAGTATTCGCCCCCTTGAACCTTTCAACATTTCGCCACATTTCAGTCTTCAAACATAAAGATATAAACATTTAATTTTTTGTCAAGAATCAACAAGTGGGACACAATCGTGAAGTGGAACGAAATTTATTGGATAATTTAAACTTTTTTAACAAATAAAAAACTGAAAAGTGGGGCGTGCAATATTATTCGGCCCCTTGCGCTAATACTTTGTAGCGCCACCTTTTGCTGCAATTACAGCTGCAAGTCGCTTGGGGTATGTCTCTATCAGTTTTTCACATCGAGAGACTGGAATTCTTGCCCATTCTTCCTTGCAAAACAGCTGGAGCTCAGTGAGGTTGGATGGAGAGCGTTTGTGAACAGCAGTCTTCAGCTCTTTCCACAGATTCTGGATTGGATTCAGGTCTGGACTTTGACTTGGCCATTCTAACACCTGGATACGTCTATTTGTGAACCATTCCATTGTAGATTTGGCTTTATGTTTTGGATCATTGTCCTGTTGGAAGATAAATCTCCGTCCCAGTCTCAGGTCTTTTGCAGACTCCAACAGGTTTTCTTCCAGAATGGTCCTGTATTTGGCTCCATCCATCTTCCCATCAATTTTAGCCATCTTCCCTGTCCCTGCTGAAGAAAAGCAGGCCCAAAGCATGATGCTGCCACCACCATGTTTGACAGTGGGGATGGTGTGTTCAGGGTGATGAGCTGTGTTGCTTTTACGCCAAACATATCGTTTTGCATTGTGGCCAAAAAGTTCAATTTTGGTTTCATCTGACCAGAGCACCTTCTTCCACATGTTTGGTGTGTCTCCCAGGTGGCTTGTGGCAAACTTTAAACAAGACTTTTTATGGATATCTTTGAGAAATGGCTTTCTTCTTGCCACTCTTCCATAAAGGCCAGATTTGTGCAGTGCACGACTGATTGTTGTCCTATGGACAGACTCTCCCACCTCAGCTGTAGTTATCTGCAGTTCATCCAGAGTGATCATGGGCCTCTTGGCTGCATCTCTGATCAGTCTTCTCCTTGTCTGAGATGAAAGTTTGGAGGGACGGCCGGGTCTTGGTAGATTTGCAGTGGTCTGATACTCCTTCCATTTCAATATAATTGCTTGCACAATGCTCCTTGAGATGTTTAAAGCTTGGGAAATCTTTTTGTATCCAAATCCGGCTTTAAACTTCTCCACAACAGTATCTCGGACCTGCCTGGTGTGTTCCTTTGTCTTCATGGTTCTCTCTGTGCTTTAAACAGAACCCTGAGACTATCAAAGAGCAGGTGCATTTATACGGAGACTTGATTACACACAGGTGCATTCTATTTATCATCATCAGTCATTTAGGACAACATTGGATCATTCAAAGATCCTCACTGAACTTCTGGACTGAGTTTGCTGCACTGAAAGTAAAGGGGCCGAATAATATTGCACGCCCCACTTTTCAGTTTTTTATTTGTTAAAAAAGTTTAAATTATCCAATAAATTTCGTTCCACTTCACGATTGTGTCCCACTTGTTGTTGATTCATGACCAAAAATAATTTTTTTATATCCTTATGTTTGAAGCCTGAAATGTGGCGAAATGTTGAAAGGTTCAAGGGGGCCGAATACTTTCGCAAGGCACTGTATATACTTATATATACTGGTCTCTAACTCTGGTCTCTCTCTTGTCTCCCACTGGTTTCTCTCTGGTCCCCCCCCTGGTCTCCCTCTGGTTCCTCTGGTCTCTGGTCCGTTACACTGATGGTCTGTGCTGCAGGTCTTTCCGTGTTGACGTTAGCGCTAACATGCGCTCGATGCTAAAGCTAGTACATAGCGCTGATGCAGCCAAACACTCACTGTCATCACTGGGATCCGCAAACTGCTTCGTGGACTCTCTTCACGACGGCATGGACTTCGACTGCGCTGTGTCCAGGTGAGAGACCCCCCTCAGCCAATTAGCTCCTCCCCCTTCAGCCAATCAGCTCCCCCCCTCAGCCATTCAGCCCCCCCTCAGCCAATTAGCTCCTCCCCCCTCAGCCAATTAGCTCCTCCCCCTTCAGCCAATCAGCCCCCCCTCAGCCAATTAGCTCCTCCCCCTTCAGCCAATCAGCTCAGCCATTCAGCCTCCTCCTCAGCCAATCAGCTCCTCCCCCTCAGCCAGTCAGCCCTCCCCTCAGCCAGTCAGCTCCTCCCCCTTCAGCCAATCAGCCCCCCCCCCTCAGCCAATCACCCCACCCCACACCCCCTCAGCCAATCAACTCAGCCAATAAGCTCCTCCCCCCCTCAGCCAATAAGCTCGCAGCCCTCAGACACATGACTTACAGTACTCTGACCTCTGACCTCAGGGCCCGGTTTGAGCTGCTCTGTGCGTCTCTGTTCAACCAAAGCATTCAGCCAATCAGAACGCTGCTGGAGGAGGCGGGGCTTAGCTGCTCCGACATCAACCAGGTCTGTGTGTGTCTCGGTCTCATTGCGTTCTCCCCCCTGTGTCTCGGTCTCATTGCGTTCTCCCCCCTGTGTCTCGGTCTCATTGCGTTCTCCCCCTTGTGTCTCGGTCTCACTGCGGTCTACTTCTCTGTGTCTCTGTCTCACTGCGGTCTCCCTCTCTGTGTCTCGTGTCATTACGGTCTCCCTCTCTATGTCTCGGTGTCACTCCGGTCTCTCTGTGTCTCGGTCTCATTGCAGTCTCCCTCTCTGTGTCTCGGTGTCATTGCCGTCTCCATCTGTGTCTCAGTGTCACTGCGGTCTCCCTCTCTGTGTCTCGGTCTCACTGCGGTCTCCCTCTCTGTGTCTCGGTCTCACTGCGGTCTCCCTCTCTGTGTCTCGGTCTCATTGCAGTATCCCTCTCTGTGTCTCGGTGTTACTGCCGTCTCCCTTTGTGTCTCGGTGTTACTGCGGTCTCTCTCTCTGTGTCTCGGTGTCATTGCGGTCTCCCTTTCTAGTGTCTCACTGCAGTCTCCCTCTCTGCCTGTGTGTCATTGCTGTCTCCCTCTCTGTGTCTCGGTCTCATTGCGGTCTCCCTCTCTGTGTCGCGGTCTCATTGCTGTCTCCCTCTCTGTGTCTCGGTCTCATTGCGGTCTCCCGCTCTGTGTCTCGGTGTCATTGCGGTCTCCCTCTCTGTGCCTGCGTGTCATTGCAGTCTCCCTGTCTGTGTTTCGGTGTCATTGCTGTCTCCCTCTCTGTGTCTCGGTCTCACTGCGGTCTCCCTGTCTGTGTCTTGGTGTCATTGCGGTCTCCCTCCTGCAGGTGGTGCTGTGTGGAGGCTCTGCTCGGATCCCTCGTCTGCAGCAGATGATTCGGGACATGTTCCCAGAGGTACACACCCCCGCCCCTTCTGTCCAAACGCTCTGCTTTCAAACCAAGGCAACTGCTCCCTCTGGTGGCAGCACAGGGAGTTACACATGACCTGCTTTAGACCCGCTTTAGTCCTGCTTTAGACCCTTTTTAGTCCTGCTTTAGACCTGCTTTAGACCCTTTTTAGTCCTGCTTTAGACCTGCTTTAGACCCTCTTTAGTCCTGCTTTAGACCCTCTTTGGTCCTGCTTTAGACCCTTTTTAGTCCTGCTTTAGACCTGCTTTAGACCCTCTTTAGTCCTGCTTTAGACCCTCTTTAGTCCTGCTTTAGACCCTCTTTAGTCCTGCTTTAGACCCTCTTTAGTCCTGCTTTAGACCCTCTTTAGTCCTGCTTTAGACCCTCTTTAGTCCTGCTTTAGACCCTTTTTAGTCCTGCTTTAGACCCTCTTTAGACCCTCTTTAGACCTGCTTTAGACCCTCTTTAATCCTGCTTTAGACCCTCTTTAGTCCTGCTTTAGACCCTTTTTAGTCCTGCTTTAGACCCTTTTTAGTCCTGCTTTAGACCCTTTTTAGTCCTGCTTTAGTCCCTCTTTAGTCCTGCTTTAGACCCTCTTTAGTCCTGCTTTAGACCCTCTTTAGTCCTGCTTTAGACCCTCTTTAGTCCTGCTTTAGACCCTTTTTAGTCCTGCTTTAGACCCTTTTTAGTCCTGCTTTAGTCCTGCTTTAGACCTGCTTTAGACCCTCTTTAGACCCTCTTTAGACCCTCTTTAGACCTGCTTTAGACCCTCTTTAGTCCTGCTTTAGACCTGCTTTAGTCCTGCTTTAGTCCTGCTTTAGACCTGCTTTAGACCTGCTTTAGACCTGTTCTGTCTGTAGGTGGAGCTGTTGAGTTCTTCTCCTCCAGATGAGGTCATTGCTGTGGGAGCCGCTCTTCAGGCCGCGCTCCTCGTGCCCCGAGACCGGACTGAACCAGGACCAGAACCAGATCTGGACCCGGTCCCTGTGGACGTGTGTGCAGGCGACGTGCTACTGAAGGTGTTGTCCCACTACTGCTCTAGACCTGCTTTAGTCCTGCTTTAGACCTGCTTTAGACCAGTCCTGGTTCTGTGCAGGAGCTGGATGGGTTCCTGGTCCTCCTCTCGGCTGGTACCCCTCTTCCCGCCCGCAGACACCATGTGGTCCGAGGTCCTGGTTCTCTGAGCGATCTGAGTCTGGAGCTGTTCCAGAGGAGGGGGGAGGGGACGGAGCGGCTCGCTAAGGTCTGGACCTGGACCTGGACCTGAACCTAAACATAAACATGTACCTTGACTTTAATGTTTACTGGGACCTGGACCTAAACGTGGACCTGGACCTGGACCTAAACGTGGACCTGGACCTGGACCTAAACGTGGACCTGGACCTGGACCTAAACATGGACTTGGACCCGGACTCTGCTTGTTGTGATGATCCTGTGGTTTTCAGCTCGTCCTCAGAGACCTTCCTCCTGCTGAAGACCTGCACCACATCGACGCAGTGGTCACTATGAAGAGGTGCGAGGGAGATGGAGGGGGAGACAGGAGAGAGAAGGGGGAGGCGGGAGGGGAGGAGATGACAGAAGACGAGAGGGGACCTTGTATAATAATGCATTATAATCTCACAACTGACACTGTTAAATCTGTTAAATACACTTCTGGTTATTGCACTTCCTGGTCTGTGACTTCATGGTCTGTGACTTCCTGGTCTGTGACTTCCTGGTTTGTGACTTCCTGTGTGTGACTTCCTGTTTGTAACTTCCTGGTTTGTGACTTCCTGTGTGTGACTTCCTGGTTTGTGACTGTCGGTGTCACTCCCGTATTCGTCCCGGAAACCGGATTCGTCCGGAAGTTCAGTTTGCGCATGTCAAAAAGTGTAATAAGTCCTTAAATGGTGACTGGTTAAGTTTAGGGTTAAGGGTTGGGGTTATTTTATGGGAATGGCTGGTTAAGTTTAGGCATGAATAGGTAGTTTTTATATTTACTTCCTCTTCCGTCCAGATTCAGTGACAGTGCTGGATCAAACTGAACTTCCGGACGAATCCGGTTTCCGGGAGGAATACGGGAGTGACAGTGACTTCCTGGTCTGTGACTTCCTGTTTGTGCCTGTCACTCCCGTATTTGTCCCGGAAATTGGATTCATCCGGAAGTTCACTTTGATCCAATGAGCATACGCAGCAGTAGATTACGTCACTGGACGGAAGCGGAAGTAAATATAAAAAGCTACTTATTCATGCCTAAACTTAACCAGCCATTCCCATAAAATAACCCAAACCCTTAACCCTAAACTTAACCAGTCTCCACTTAAGGACATATTAAACTTTTTGACATGCGGAAACTGAATTTCCGTATTTCGGGACGAATACGGGAGTGACAGTGCCTTCCTGGTCTGTGACTTCCTGTTTGTGACTTCCTGGTTTGTGACTTCCTGGTTTGTGACTTCCGGTTTGTGACTTCCTGGTTTGTGACTTCCTGGTTTGTGACTTCCTGGTTTGTGACTTCCTGGTTTGTGACTTCCTGGTTTGTGACTTCCTGTTTGTGACTTCCTGTTTGTGACTTCCTGTTTGTGACTTCCTGTTTGTGACTTCCTGTTCTCAGAGATGGCTCGCTGCACGTGAGCTGTGTGGAGCAGGGCAGCGGGCGCTCGGAGGCCGTGACCATCGCAGCAGCTTCGTAACTCCTCCCCCTCGCCCTGACTACTCCCCTTGATGACTCCTCCCCCTCTATGTGACTCCTCCCATCTCTTTGACCTCTCCCTGACTCCTCCCCTCTCCCGGACTTCTCCCCTAAACTATTTTTGTACTGTAATAAAGACTTGAACACCGATCTTGTCTGATTTCTGCTGCAAACCTGCAGCTGGTTTTAGCTCTGCCCAGGCTCAGGTATTTATACAGCCTTGTGTCTGTGTGTGGCAAGGCAAGTTTATTTTTAGAGCTGTTACGACCCGAAGGACAAAACTTTGGGTTCTACAAAAACCCAAAGTAATCAAATTAAAGGTGGACCTGGTGGGCCGGCCAAAACAAACAAAATGGGCCGACACCGAACCAACCCTATCCAGGGCCGTCCGGATCCGATGCCGGCGCCCTAACTAAAGAATAAACAAAACCCAATAGCTACACCCTCCAACGAAAATGTAACCATCGGACCCACCAGATCAAACAAAAATAAAGACAAGGAAAAAATGCTAACCAAATGGCTAAAGAAACAACCAAACCATGTGGCGTCTGGAGAGGCCGTCATGTGTAGCATGTGTGTATCATGTGAGAGATATGTATATCATGTCTGTAGCATGTGTGAGAGTTGTGTAGCATGTATGTAGCATGTGTGTAGCATGTGTGTAGCATGTGAGAGATATGTATATCATGTCTGTAGCATGTGTGAGAGTTTGTGTAGCATGTATGTAGCATGTGTGTAGCATGTGTGTAGCATGTGAGAGATATGTATATCATGTCTGTAGCATGTGTGAGAGTTGTGTAGCATGTGTGTAGCATGTGTGTATTATGTGTGTAGCATATGTGTCGCATGTGTGTAGCATGTGTGTATTATGTGTGTAATACGTATGTGTGTAGCATGTGTGTAGTATGTGTGTAGTATGTGTGTAGTATGTGTGTAGTATGTGTGTAGCATGTGTGTAGTATGTGTGTAGCATGTGTGTAGCATGTGTGTAGTATGTGTGTAGTATGTGTGTAGCATGTGTGTAGTATGTGTGTAGTATGTGTGTAGCATGTGTGTAGCATGTGTGTATTATGTGTGTAATACGTATGTGTGTAGCATGTGTGTAGTATGTGTGTAGCATGTGTGTAGTATGTGTGTAGCATGTGTGTAGTATGTGTGTAGTATGTGTGTAGCATGTGTGTAGTATGTGTGTAGCATGTGTGTAGTATGTGTGTAGCATGTGTGTAGTATGTGTGTAGCATGTGTGTAGTATGTGTGTAGCATGTGTGTAGTATGTGTGTAGCATGTGTGTATTATGTGTGTAATACGTATGTGTGTAGCATGTGTGTAGTATGTGTGTAGTATGTGTGTAGTATGTGTGTAGCATATGTGTAGTATGTGTGTAGCATGTGTGTAGCATGTGTGTATTATGTGTGTAATACGTATGTGTGTAGCATGTGTGTAGCATGTGTGTAGCATGTGTGTAGTATGTGTGTAGCATGTGTGTAGTATGTGTGTAGCATGTGTGTAGTATGTGTGTAGCATGTGTGTAGTATGTGTGTAGCATGTGTGTAGTATGTGTGTAGCATGTGTGTAGCATGTGTGTATTATGTGTGTAATACGTATGTGTGTAGCATGTGTGTAGCATGTGTGTAGCATGTGTGTAGCATGTGTGTAGTATGTGTGTAGCATGTGTGTAGTATGTGTGTAGCATGTGTGTAGTATGTGTGTAGCATGTGTGTAGCATGTGTGTAGCATGTGTGTAGTATGTGTGTAGCATGTGTGTAGTATGTGTGTGAGACCAGGACAGACCGGTCTTCGTTGGGTCCCATCAGAGGGTTGGTCCCCCCAGACCCGGGAGGTTGATGTGGTCTTTGAGGATCATGACGTCGCCCACTCTGTAGTCCGGGTTCAGTCCTCCGGCCGCGTTGGTCATGATCATGGTCTGAACGCCCATCAGCTTAAAGACACGCATCGGGAGCGTTATCTGGCAACCAGCAGAGAGAGAGACCATTACCCCTGTGCTGGTGTCACTACAGAGAGAGACCAGAGAGAGAGACCAGAGAGAGAGACCAGAGAGAGACCAGAGAGAGACCAGAGAGAGACCAGAGAGAGAGACCAGAGAGAGAGACCAGAGAGAGAGACCAGAGAGAGAGACCAGAGAGAGACCAGAGAGAGACCAGAGAGAGACCAGAGAGAGACCAGAGAGAGACCAGAGAGAGAGACCAGAGAGAGAGAGACCAGAGAGAGAGACCAGAGAGAGAGACCAGAGAGAGACCAGAGAGAATGGGAAGTTCAGAGTCTGTGCAGCGCCGACAGAAAGAGGTACTTTTTGATCAAGTTTGTTTAAACATTTTATTATTACTGCACCAAACACTCATTGAACTGAGGTAACGCAGGTGTGTCAAAGTAAGCAGTACTGCAGGGCTGCTCTGTGCACCTTTTTAGTAAACTTTTAACAACTTTTTAGCGCGTTTTTATTGTTCAGTTTTTTAATATATCTGAGTGTTTTATCTTTTTAATTCAGTGGTTTCAGCAAATAGCACTTAGTCCCGACTGAAACCCACTAGTAGCACAGAGGCTAACACAAGCTAACGAGGACATGGAAAGTGACAATGAAATTGGCTCAAACATGCACAATATTAGTCGCCTCACCTTGGAGCTCCGTGAGAGCGACCGTGCCACCATTGCAGATCTACGAAAAGAAGTCCTTCGTCTCACCGCAGAGTTGAATGAGAAACAATCTCTAGTATCCAAACTTTTTGAAGTCGCTGGTGGGCAGCATTCACGGCTGATGTCACTGAGCGCTGCATATTGTGACACTGTCGTGTGGGAGAGATCCGTCAGCTCCGGACCCTCCTGTTCTACACCTAAGCGCCCGCTTACGAATAACGAGCCCGCGGATTCCGAGGAGCCATCCTGCGCCGTGGCCCATGTCCTGAGTCTGGCAAACCGCTATGCAGCCCTCTCCACCGACATCCCGGCCCCCTCAGCAGAATCCCTGGACACTGCAGCGTACTCTACTGCTCGAGGATCCAAGTCCACTGCGAGGAAAACGCTCCTAAAGGAAGCAGTCCTCAGGCGAAAGAGCGGTCCACCAGCCATGTTGGCCTGTTCCCCTTCTTTGACCCCAGTGCAGCAGCCTCAGACTGGGGTAGCGAGCCATCATCACCACCGCTCACCTCCACCGGGTCAGCAGCAGCGCCCAGAGCCAGCCCCTCTCACCGCTCCAGCGTCCCCGAGCACACAGCGTGGGTCGCCTGTAGCTGAGAGTCAGCACCCCCGCTCCTCCTCTCCATGTGTTCAGCGGCGCTCAGGCTCGGGTCCTGCTTCGGGTGAACCCGCTGGTTCCGTTCACCGAGCTCCTTCTCCGAGGCCGCGTCCACGTCCACTCTTCGCCCCGACCACTCTGATTATTGGAGATTCCATCGTGAGACACGTCCGCTTCTTTAACGCGGTCACTCGCTGTATTCCCGGAGCTACTGTACCAGACCTGCTCATACGTCTCCCTCCTCTGCTTCAGTCCCTGCCTGATACCGTTTCCAAGGTAGTCGTGCATGTGGGAATTAACGACATGAAACTTCAGCAGTCAGAAGTCTCTAAGAAACATTTTATGGATCTGTTCCACCTCCTTCAATCCTCCGGATTATCTGTTTTTATTTCTGGTTCAATCCCGACTGTAAGCAGAGGTGACTGCCTCTACAGTCGTGTTGTGGCGCTGCATATGTGGATCCAGGCTACATGCAGCTCTTTTAACTTTGTCTTTGTGAATAACTTTGCCCTTTTCTGGAAACGTTACGAAGCCTATCGTCCAGACGGATTACACCCAAACAGATACGGTAGCAGCCTGTTGATGGACTACATGCGTCATGTTGTTCAGCGTTCCCCGAGGGGGGCGTGACTGTTTACATCTGAGCCCCCTCGGACCCCACCGCACTCCCCCGCCTCCTGCTCACCAGCACCGGGTGAGTACAACGGTGCAAACACTGCTCCCTGTCCGTCTGGCAGTGCATTACCAGTCCAAACACTGAACTGTGCTGACTCCCTTCTGACTCTGGGAGCTAAAGAACAACAACAAGGCTTTTCACATTTTAGGCCAATTGAGACTGTGTGTGTTCCTCGCACCAGCTCAAAAATGTTTTTAAATTCTAAAAAACGAAATCAAAACAGGACAGCAGTTAGACGGTCCAACTCTGCAAATCTAATTTCTGTTCCCTGTAGAAATCAATCAACTCTGACGTTATTTTTAAACTTGCTATGCTTAATGTCAGATCTCTATGTAACAAATCATTTTTAATTAATAATTTTATCACTTCTTATGATCTTGATTTTATGCTTATGGCTGAAACATGGCTGGACCAAAATACAGGAAATGCAGTTCTAATAGAAGCAACACCACCCAATTTTAAATTCGAATCCGAAATACGAGAAAACAAAAGGGGGGGAGGCATAGCTGCAGTTTTTAGAGAGCACTTTGTCTCCCATAGAATGCCCCTTGGAAATTTTTCATCGTTTGAGTATATTTCTTTTAAAATGGAACAAAAGCAATCTTCTACTCTTTTCATTGTCCTGTACAGGCCACCACAGTCATGTTGCGATTTTATTGACCATTTTACTGAACTACTTTCATTCGTTTGCACAGATTTTGATAGTTTAGTTATTACAGGTGATTTTAATGTACATGTTGATAATGTTGATGACAGAAATGCAAAGGAGCTGGCTTCTGTATTTGAGACCTTTGGTTTCATTCAGCACGTGAGTGGCCCCACCCACAGCAGGGGGCACACTCTTGACCTGCTAATTACAAAGGGGGTTAATGTATCAAATGTTAATGTAGTTGATGTTGCTTTGTCAGATCATTTCTGTGTATTTTTTGACATGTGTTTTGCTAGCAAACCACCAGCTGAATTTACAATTGTTAGAAGAAGACACATACATGAAATCACAAGTGAACTGTTCATGGGAATGCTAAATTTTGAGAAAACTCCATGCTCTACTGTTGATGAATTGTATAACTCTGTC